TTTTCGAAGTTATGGAGCCTATGACTATACAGCCGAGAGTCTATGAGCAACTCTCTGTCGCAAAATGTGTATTCTGAAAGAGTTACAAGATCCAGAAATGCTGCTCAAGGGTGCAGATCCAAGACTGAGCATTTAGGTAAAGTTGATTTCTCTTCAGTCGATCTGCAGTCGAGGCATTCAGTTGCATCACCGCAATGTGATGATGAAAGGAAGTTACTGAAGCCCACTACTGTTAGTGGTGAAGGTTTCTTAGTTGAAGATTACACCGATGACAAACAATGGAAAGAAAAGGGTGAATCTATTGACACAAGCATAGTTTCAAGATCTGAAAGCTTAGGTCAGGATGACAGCATGTTGGATGAGTCTACAGAAGTGGGTCAGATCCAAGACAGTAAATCCAAGGCTGAGTATTTGGGTCAGTTCGAGTTATCTTCAATTGAACTGCAGCCAAGACATTCAGCTGCAGTGCTGCAGTCTGGTGATGAAAGGGAATTATTAAAACCTCCTACCGTCAGTGAAAAATGTTTATCAGTTCAAGAAGATTCTGCTGGTGGTAAACTATGCAAAGAAAAGGACGAATCTATTCACCCTAGCAGAATTTCAACAGTTAGAAGTTTAGGTCAAGCTGAAATCTCGGTGGATGATCCTGCTGTAGTGGGTGAGTTTGCTCTGCAGGAAAATGGTGTTGTGTCTGGAGACTTGGTTGAACATTCTACAACATCTGATGTTAGTGGTGGTTCCAAGGTAGTGCAGCCAAATAGTTCATGGATCAAGCCGGAGAGTAGCCATCATGGAAAAATAAGCAGGTTGAGAAGCTCAAGCATACAAGAGGACTTAGCAACAGAATATGAAGCCCCTTCTGTTAGTTCTGAACATGAATTGGTTGATGAACAACTTGATTCTGGAGTGGTGAATTCTCCATCCAACACACTACATAATCTTCCTGCACCTGTGAAGCTTGAGCCGCTTCATTTTAATGACGATGAAGAGCAAAACTTCGACGAGATGCTACTGAATTATCGAGAAGAATCAGCCAAGGGGGATGGCCCCATACCAGCAGCAGCAGCAAGAGAAATTAATGCTTCATCTCCCACTGATCCGGAAATAAATCTCTTGGTGGATAGCAAATTGAGTGCCATCGTGGAGCATGATGGGCGAGAGAAAGAACGGATACCAGCGAGGGAATCACCTATTGGCGGCGCTGACTTAGAAGCTGGAGAGAGTGAACATGCAGAGGCTAATACTGGATTATCAATAAATAACATATCCAATGTTTGCATAGTTGCGTCGACAAACAGTCTTAAAAGAAGGCTCAACCCCTCTGTGCCAAACAATTCGTCAGATAATTCGGCCCAATCGCAGGCTGCTGGGAAATCTTCCCTCTGTGAGATGTCAAAGGAGCAACCATTGTCTTGTCTGTCCAATCTGAGTGCTAACAAAGAGATCAAAGTTCCATTTGAGGAGGATATATACCAGCTAGATGTATTTAAACACGCTTTATCTACATCGAACAAGAGAAGTGAAGAAAAGACTATTGCTGAGGATAGTGAAAGAGAAATGAAGGCTGATCTTTGTGTGGGGGAATGGAACCAGTCAGGTAATTCCTATCTTTGTTCAGATGAGACTGAGAAATATTCTGCAGCAGTAGGTAGTGGATTCAGTGATGATTCTTTGCATCAACAAACAGAACAATCTCTACATCAGGTACAGACATCCTTTGGAAAAGGTTGCTGTCCCCATACTGGTCAAAATATAGCATGCACAGAATCAAGAGAAGTCCAAGCTCCTGAAAGCTCTATTCGGGAATTCTGCCAGTCTAGTCCCTTTACGGAAATCTCCCATCTGCAGAATAAGCGAAGAAGGACTCTAGATAAACTAGCTCATGGGATGCCTTCATCAGCAAGCCTACCGGTGAAGCATCTGACTTTATGTCCAGGGAAATTGAATGTATGCTGGATAGTTTAGACTTAATATATCTACCTTTCTTTTTATGGCAGGATGATGCTCTTGATTCAGGTTCTGCTGAGGGAAAACATGGTACAGTTCATCACAGTGTGGAATGCCTCAGTCTCAGTCACTATGATGTTGAGCTGCAAAAGATGATTGGATCTGCATCTTCAACCGAGTTACGACTTGACGAGGTAGTAGCTACATGTCTCACACATCTTCAAATTTATTTAGTACAATAGAGAGCAATCCTTTCCGCCAGAAAAGAGTAAACTTTGTGCCTTACAAAATAGTTTTTTTTTCTTTTTTCATTTTTTACAATGTCCTTTAAAAATTAGTTTATCTGCTAATACTTGATTTCTACTATGATGACTTTCAACTGACAATTATTCTACTATGATAATCTCACTCTAGAACTAAGGGCCACGATTTCTTGTGTTCTACTGCCCCTCGAGGGGCAAGAGCATGATACGTGTGTGATAAGTGTCCCACATTGGAAAATGAGAGGGATTTGGGCCAATATATAAGTAAGGGTCAAACCTCCACTCTTAAGCTAGCTTTTGTGGTGGAGTTAGGACCTAAACCTTATTAATTGGTATCAGAGCCTAACTCTCTACTTTCCGGTGGGCCTTTGACGGACCGTTCTCCTGCGGACATGCGGTCGACTCGGTGGTTGTGGGACGGTCGAGAGAGGAACGATCAAGAGAGGAACGGTCGGGGATGGACCGAGAAGCCGCCATCGACCGAGAAGCCGCCAGCGACCAGATTTGCTCCAGCGCCGTGGACGTCGCTGTCTAAAGTGGGCGGTATTGATAAGTGTCTCACATTGGAAAATGAGAGGGATTTGGGCCAATATATAAGTAAGGGTCAAACCTCCACTCTTAAGCTAGCTTTTGTGGTGGAGTTAGGACCTAAACCTTATTAGTGTGATTAGAACTATCATCCAACAGAATTATATATAGTTAAAACCAAATACTCTTTTAGTCAGTGTTTCGAGTTTTCTCTTCGTTTCGGATCTCTTGGTTCTGATTGCATGAGTAATAAGTTGTCTGAAACTGATTTTACTGCGACGTAGCTCCGGCTCTTAACTTTCCAAATTTGTTCTCTTGTTCTGTATGATGGTTTTTTCAACCTGAAAATCTGAGAGATCTTTAACTCGCGCCAGTAATCCTCACAATAAGATTCTTGTTGAGATTTACAGGGTTACTTACTCAAGGAAGTTGGATTCAAGAGTCCAGCCACTCTTACCTTCAAATCAGAACAACTCGGAGAATTAGGGAGTCAAACCATCCCAATTCATGGAGTTGGATCAGAATATACAGACATTGTGCCAAGCGGCCAAGAAACCTCTCATCTCTTAGCTAGTAGAGTTTCACACGATTCAATTGGTTTGATATGCTCAGATGATGGAAGCCTCCCTGTGTTAGAGGGCTTCATAATCCAAACAGATGATGAAGATCAAAGTGGTTCTCATGACCAGATAAATCTTGATTGCTTGCGGCTTCCGAAAACTACGGTAGAACGTGCAAGTGTGTTGGAGCAGATTTGTCGGTCTGCTTGCATGAGTACTCCCTCATTGCAACTCTCTACCTCGTTTAAATTTGACGAAAAGCCGAAGTTGAACCAATCTGTTCCAAATCGGCTTCTTGAAAGTATGCTTGTTAGTAGCAGCCTTCAGACAAAGGATGATGAGAGTAAGAAGCTCGAGGGTGGCTCTGTCGTTGTTTACTCAGAAATTGACCATGCCTTTCATGGGAGGTCGCATTCTGATTGCCTGCCATTATCTGGTGCTGGGTCAGCATCTGTTGAAACTAGGAATATTTATTCATCTCCGTCCGGTAAGTTGTGGTATAGAAGTATGCAAAAGTCTGCCAGTTCAGAGAAGCGAGGGACTCTGAGTCCAGACCTTCCTTGCATTGCTGAAGAGAATGAAACCATCGATGAGCAAACTGAGAAGCTGTGGAGTGGAAATACGCCAAAGTCTGCCAGCTCAGAGAAACGAGGGAGTTCAAGTCCAGACCTTCCTTGCATTGCCGAAGAAAATGAAAATGCTGACGAATCATTCGAAGCTGTCCGTGAATATTCCCAAATGAATAACGCCTCCGCTGAAAGGAAACCGCTTCTTGTTGTGAATGAAAACATAGAATTCCCTGCAGCTGTCTCTGAAGCTAAGGTGCATGTTGATAGACAAAGCCTTGACTCTGTCAATACCGCATTCAGCTTTACAGCTACGTGCAACAGTGTCAAGAGTAAACTGGGAAAGCAGAACGGTGGTACAAGAAGAAGCACGGTTAAAGGCAAGGAGAACCGGGGTATCTCCCGAGGAACTGCAAGAAAAATCGAACCGCTTATTAACAGGTCCAGTAAGCCGAAATTGTCCGGGAACTCTAGTTTGACAATCCAAGGGCCTCGTTTATCAGAGAAGGAACCGAGGCAGAATAACATCGTGTCCAACATCACCTCGTTTATTCCGCTAGTGCAGCAGCCAAAACCAGCATCTGAACTGATCACAGGCAATTCCGAATTATCTTTTCTGAACCGTGACTGTCAATTGGTATTCGCTTCAAGTTTTGGTTTTGGTACTTATCTGACTAACTCCAATCTTCTTCATTTTTTTCCATCTAGGGAAGAGAGATGTCAAAGTGAAGGCCCTTGAGGCTGCTGAGGCAGCCAAACGGCTTGCTGAAAAGAAAGAGAATGAACGTAAGATGAAGAAGGAGGCACTGAAACTGGAGCGGGCAAGACAGGAGCAAGAGAATCAGAGGAAGCAAGAGATGGAGAAGCAGAAGAAAGAAGAGCGGAAGAGAAAGGAGGCAGAAATGGCAGAGAGGAAGAAGCAGAAGGATGATGAAGAGAAAAAGCTGAAGGAAGAAGAACGCAAGAGAAAGGAGGCAGAAATGGCGGAAAGGAAGAGGCAGAGGGAAGAAGAAGAGAAAAAGCTGAAGGAAGAAGAACGCAAGAGAAAGGAAGCGGAAATGGTTGAAAGGAAGAGGCAAAGGGAAGAAGAAGAGAAAAGGCTGAAGGAAGAAGAACGCAAGAGAAAGGAGGCGGAAATGGCAGAAAGGAAGAGGCAAAGGGAAGAAGAAGATAAAAAATTGAAGGAACCTAAAAGAAAGCGCATTGCAGGAGCACATAAACAACAACAAAGAGAGCCAGAGGCAAAATTACTTGCCGGAAAAGGAGAACAAGAATCGAAAACTCAAGCGATGGTGAGAAAAACCTCCTTCCTGTTCTAACTAGTCCTACTCAATATCAATGCATATATGATCGGTGCGAATAACAGAATAAAACGACCATCTTATAGGAAGCAAGCTCAAAGGCATTGAAGGAACTCAGACATGAACTTGGTAATGCCATGAAAACCGCAAAGGAACAGGCAAATTCTAGGTTGCAATCGACAAAGAGTGACATCAGTGAAGATAGCAAGAGAATGAGTTCGGTTGGAGACATTTCCAAGGTACAGCTTTCATCATTCACAGTTCAGTTCTGTTGATTGTTTGCCCAAAACCAACCAATTATAAGTAATTTCGAAGTTATCGAGCCTATGACTATACAGCCGAGAGTCTTCTTCGATTTTTCGTAGGTAACCGGCGATCTTGGAAGAGTGTCGGATGAAACCAGCCGGGCAGGTGGAACGACCGAAGAGTCTTACGACATATCTCCATACAAATGCTCTGATGACGAAGATGAAGACGAGGATGAAGACGTAGGTGTCCGAAACAACAAATTCGTCCCCGCATGGGCCAGGTTCTTTTTTTTTCTGCATCTGAATGAATCGTATCACTAATGCGTCCGACCGGGGACGTTATATATATATATATATTGCTAAAGTAAAGGACGTTGTTATATGGCAGCAAGAGCTGTGTTCTTCTGGCAGTTTCTTCCCAGCAAAGCGTCGATCCGGTGAAGATCTTCCCCCCCAAAAGCTTCTGCAGTATAGAAGAAGGTAGAGAATCTGAATCTCCATGAAATCAAATCATCTTAAGATTTCGTTGTTTCTCCACAGCTACAGTTTGAAAAAAAAAAATCTTTTTGTCTTACAGTTCTTTTGCCCCGAAGGCTCCGATCGAGGTAGAAGGAATCTTGAGTCTTGAGAAATTACGACTGCATATAACAGTGAGCATGAGAGGGTATAACTCGCACTCTCTTTCTTTGAAAATTCCTCAGTTGCTTCTGGCTTTAAGCTTAGAATAAAATTGCAAGTGGTTTGTGGATGATGATGTAATTTCAGTGACTTATGGTCAATGTTCATATAAAATTCCTCTTTTAATCCCTTGATGATGAATTCACACAAACTCTTCGGACACTTTATGTTTTATTCTATGCATAACAATTTTCTTTATTGTTGAATTTTTTTAATATTGAATCTTTGGGTCCTAGACTTAAAAATGCGTATAAGCGCAATCACATATTCTCTCTCTGTATCTCTCATATTTTTGTTCAAATTTGCAATCGTATGAGCCCTCGGGCCCATCACCATCAGCCAGGTTTCTTAATGGGCCTAGTCGTGAGGCCCATTTAAGGTTATTTTTTTCGAGATTCATATATGGGCTCAGTAAGCACATCTCAGCTACCAAACGACGTCGTGTAAACATGGGCTTGTATCAATGGCCCATTAGAGATAAGTATGGGCCTTCTTTTCCTGTCCCAAATCGTCTGGAATCTCTCTTGGTTTTTGGCGGAGCGAAGAACGGTGAACAGACGGAGGAAGAGATGTCTGGGTTCTCGAGCTCGATTTCTTCCAGAAACAGGACAATCTCTCTTCTGCGTTACTGTTCGTCGAAGTTCAGATGTTTCTCTTACATGGGTTCCTCTTTCAACCCCAGAAAACAGTCGAAACATGATGATTCTGCCGTTCGCGAAGCGTTTGGTGTCTCCGGTACTTTCTTCCTTCCGCATGTGCGTGGTTTTTTTTTATGTGTGATCAAGCTTATCAAATCGTATGAGCTTGCGAGGCATGGAATCTCGTGGAGATTTAGGCTGAAGTGGCCTCTTTAAGCTGAATTAGAGAGTAGAAAATTAGTTCAGAGACAGTAAAGGTGTAAAAGTATTTAAGATATTTTTGCGATTTCAGGATGAAATGCACAGTTTTTGATTGGTAACTTATTAACGTATCGCATTTCCAGAGTTATATGTAGATACTGTCTTCTTTTAAGTGTGATCCCACCAGTGTATCCCTTTGCTACGCCTACTTGGTTTACCTGCACGGAATGCACAGAAATTGTGACCAAAAGTTAGTGAATCGGTTCTAGAACATAAGACTATCTTCGTGGAGGTTTCTGCACGTTTAGAATTGCGAGTTTGTGCTGAATTTTGAAGTTCTTTAACTAAAGTTTCAAACTTGTTGCGGTCTTGCTCTTGGAACAGGGTTTGATATGGAGAAGAGCATATATACCATTCTTACAATTGATCGTTGGGATTCACTGAACCACATGGACTACAGACAGGCTCGTCTTAGACCAGTTCACGGGAGACTGGCCTTAAAGCTTTTGAACTGGGCAGTCAAGCAGCCTGGTTTGGAGCTAAACCACCTTGTTCACTTGTTTTCTATTACTGCCCATATTCTTGTCAGAGCTAGAATGTATGAACCTGCAAGGCGCATCTTGAGGGAATTATCTCAGATGGGTAACGAGTCAGGCTCTGTTTTTGGTGCTTTGATGACATCATACCGACTTTGCAATTCAAACCCTTCAGTTTTTGATCTCTTGATTAGAGTTTATCTGAAAGAAGGGATGATTAAGGGATCTTTAGAAATATTTCGATTGATGGGTCTTTACAGGTTCAATCCTTCTGTATATACTTGCAATTCAATGCTAGGCGCCATTGTAAAGAATGAGGGAGCTGAGTCTGTTTGGTTGATCTTGAAGGAAATGCTTGGGAGGAATATTTGTCCCAATGTGGCTACATTCAATATAATGATTAATGTACTCTGTGAAGAAGGAAGGTTTAAGAAAGCTTGTTATCTCTTGAAAAAGATGGAGGAGAGTGGTTATGGCCCAACTATTGTTACATATAATACGGTCCTCAATTGGTACTGTAAAAAAGGGAGATATAAAGCAGCTATTGACCTTATTGATCATATGGGGTCAAAAGGGGTGGAAGCTGATGCCTGTACCTATAATATGCTCATTGACGACTTGTGCAGAAACAACAGAAGTGGCAAAGGTTATTTATTGCTGAGAAACATGAGAAAGAAGATGATTGACCCCAATGAAGTCACGTATAACACGCTGATAAATGGCTTTGCCAAGGAAGGAAAAGTTACCATTGCTGGACAACTTGTGGATGAGATGTTGGCGTTTGGACTTTACCCCAATCATGTTACTTATAATGCTTTGATAGATGGGTATTGTAGTCAAGGTGACTTTAAGGATGCTTTAAAGATTTTTTATTTGATGGAAGCACGAGGGCTTAGACCTACTGAGGTTAGCTATGGAGTTCTTTTAGATGGGTTATGCAAGCATGCCGAATTCAAACTAGCTAGAGGCCTTTACATGAGAATGAGGAAAGATGGGATGTTTGTTGGTCGAATAACATACACGGGAATGATTGATGGTTTATGTAAAAACGGGTTTTTGGATGAAGCTGTTGAGATGCTTAATGAAATGGGTAAAGATGGTATTCATCCTGACATCATCACATACTCTGCACTGATAAATGGATTTTGCACAGTGGGGAGGATTGGAGCTGCAATGGAGGTTATATGTAGGATTTACCGAGCTGGTCTTACTCCGAATGGCATCATATACTCAACAATGATATACAATTGTTGCAAGATGGGAAAATTGAGGGAAGCCATGAGGATTTATGCAGCTATGAATATCGAGGGTCATAATTCAGATCATTTCACGTGTAATGTACTTGTTGATTCACTTTGTAAAGCTGGGAAAGTTAAGGAGGCAGAAGGATTTATGCATCACATGAGAAGTGTTGGTGTTCTTCCCAACTCAGTTACCTTTGATTGTATTATCAGTGGTTATGGAAGCTTGGGTGATTCGTTAAAAGCATTCTCTGTATTTGATGAGATGACCAACTTAGGCCATCAACCGACTTTTTTCACGTATGGTAGCTTGCTCAAGGGATTATGCAAAGGTGGGCATTTAAGAGAAGCAGAGAAGTTTCTGCGTAACCTCCACAATATTCCTGCAGCTGTAGATACTGTCATGTACAATACACTGCTCACTGAAATGTGTAAATCAGGGAATTTACTGAAGTCTGTTTCTCTCTTTGGTGAGATGGTGCAGCGAAACATTTTTCCTGATAATTATACATACACCACTCTTATCTCGGGGTTGTGTAGGAAGGACAAGACAGTTATTGCGATACTTTTTGCAGAGAAAGCTGTTGCTAGAGGTAGTTTACTTCCCAACAAGGTGATGTATACCTGTTTGCTAAACAGTATGTTCAGGGCTGGCCTGTGCAAGGCTGGATTTTATTTTCAAGAACAAATGGAGAAAAATGGTCTTAGTCCTGATACTGTCACATCAAATGCAATGGTAGATGGTTACTCGAGAATGGGAAAAATAGAGAAGGCTAGTTACCTCTTTTCTGAGATGGTGAACCGAAATTTGTATCCTAATCTGATTACCTATAATATTCTCTTGCATGGGTATTCAAAGAAGAAAGACATGTCAGCAAGCTTTATGCTCTACAGATCCATGATTTTGAATGGCATTTCGCTTGACAAGTTCACATGCCATTCTCTCATTCTTGGGCTTTGTGTGTCTGGCCTCTTGGATATTGGTGTTAAAATGTTGAAAGCATTTGTATGCCGAGGTATCGAAGTTGACAGGTGCACGTTGAACATGCTAATCTCCAAGTGTTGTATAAACGGAGAGATCAGTAAGGCGTTTGATCTAGCTAAGGTCATGATGTTATTGGGAATATCCCCTGATGGAAATACCTTTGGAGCTATTGTGACTGGACTTATAAGGAACCATTCATTCCACGAATCTCGTGTACTTATGCACAGAATGTTGGAAAAAGGTTTTGTTCCTGAGCTTACCAAGTTCATAGCTTTGCTTAATGGTCTTTGTAGAGTGGGAGATATAAGGACTGCTTTTGAGCTGAAGGATGAGATGGTTGCTCTTAAGGTATGTACCCATCATGTAGCTGAGAGTGCTGTGGTGAGAGCTCTTGCAAAATGCGGCAAAACTGAGGAAGCCATGCTGGTGCTTCAGTCTATGCTGAGAAAGAATCTTGTTCCAACTATAGCTAGTTTCACTACTCTATTGCACATGTTCATCAAGAATGGTGATGCTACAGAGGCTCTGAAGTTGAGGGATGTCATGTGTAATCATAAGGTGAAGTTTGATCTCGTTTCGTATAACGTATTGATATCAGGCCTTTGTGCTGGAGGTGATGTGGAAGCTGCATTTGAACTCTATGAAGAGATGAAACGAGGTCGCTTCTTAGCCAACGTGACTACCTACAAAGCTCTAATCAGTGGTGCCTTTCTCTCGCGAAGAAATGTTTCTGCTAAGACGGATATCATTTTGAAGGATTTAGCGGCGAGGGGATTCATTAACTCCTCCAACTTTTCTCAAGAATCGCAAAAGAACTTGACAATGGCCATGGAGAAGCTGAAGGCCATACAGCAGAGCAAGAGGAGATAAGAATTACAACAGTCTGAAAGGGATATATAATCTGATCCACTTCTCAAAGTGAAGAAGGATATCTTTTTTCATTTCAGCTCAAGGACATGTTGCTTCCTAACTAGGTCTATGCTGAATTCTTAATGGTTACTGCTTGTTTCCTATTCATGTATTTCCTGTTAGCATATACCCATGTTTTTTTTTATTCTTTTGCTTTCCAGGTGCAGTTGCAGCTTCGCACTTAATTCTCCATGAATAGCTTATAACAGGTATTCTCCTTTCTGTTGTCTGAAATATCTGTCAGGCTTTGCCTGCAGATTTTTTCACCATCTCCCTCTCTTTTCTTCAGGAGACAGGATATTGGCTTTGATTAAAGCCAAACCCAAAAGAAACCGGAACGATGGTGGCCCGAGACACGGAATAACCGCAAGTTGGATGGCGAACCCGCAAGGTATTTGGCTTTTTTTCCCAACTGTACAACTCTAAAACTCTGAAAAGATCAAAACTTGATGAGTTTCTTGAGCAAAACAAACCAAAAGCAGGTTGTTTAATGCTGTCTTATTCCAATCGCCGAGTTCTGTTTTGTTGTTTCCTACTTTTTCTTCTGGCACAGACGATGAACAGGGTCTTGATAGCTGTAGCCATGTTGGCATTACATGTGCTGAATCATCTGGAATCAGTCTGGATTTGATCAACTTCTCTCCCTCACGTAGCTGTCATGTTCCATACCCCGTAGCCTTTTCTTCTGTGAAAAACTTTCTTACCGATCATATCGATCTTCAACTCTTGGCCTTATTCAAATTCCTCACTGGTTTCGTCTTCGGCATTTCAGGAACACTGGCATTTCCTGCAAAGTCTCGTTCCCACCAAATTCCTGGCGAATTTTCCAGGGAAAGTCTGACTGTTTTCCAGGAAAATGGGGTTGCCAGTGGGGGACCAGAGAGCAGCAATGGAAGCTCTGGCGAATGGAGAGAAGAAAACCATGGTGAGATCTCTGTATTGGGTGAGGATCTCTGTCGGAAGAGACACGCACGAGAACTGGCATGATCGGATCGTGTCCAATCGATCGAAGTATAATATCCACGTGCGTGGAACACAGAATCTAGCACTTCCTCTGTTGCATAACTGGTTTTGTCCCCATCATTCAGCTCAGTTCCCACTCGTGAGCCTCCACGTGTATATATATATATATATTTATATGTTCACTATATTTACTATATAGGTTAAAAAAAAAATTTGTTTTTCATGTTGAGGATTGTAAAATTGATTCTTTATATCTATCGAAATTAAAAGCTAAGAATACCATTCGACCCTTTTTCTCGGTTTGCTTTCCACTATTTATGAAAAAATTAGGGTGTTATTATCCGATAATTAAAGATAAAATTTAATATTAAGACAATGTAATTATCACAAAATAAGATTTGTGTCGGAGTCGCACGGTTTAAACTGCTACAACACAATAAAACAGTGACAGCGAGCCAGCCACTTGCATTTGCGTCTCACCCAGCGTTTGCCGTCTACTCACGCCGTTTGCCAGCTCATCATTCCGTTAGATCATATAGAAGACTTAGCCACGTCACTGCTGATGTTGCACTAACGCTCTTGTATATATATATATACACAGTTTTCAGGTTCCGCCCCAAAGACTGAAAAAAAAAAGAAAAAAAAATTGGAAGGAAAAAAAAGAGAATTCTCTCAATCTTTTTAAGCTCAGAATCTCTCTCTCCCCGAAGAAATTTTCTCTCACTTTCCCTCGTTTTCTCGGTGGTTTTTCTTCTCCTTTCCAAGTCCTTTCCTTTCTCTGAAAAGTCTTCCTCCCGCAGACGCCATGTCGGTATGTCAAACCGTTCCCTGGTTTCCTAGTTTTGGTGTTCTTGAGCTGCTTTTTCCATCTTCGGATTCGATTTATTCGTCTGTGAACTTAGTAATATTCTTTGGCTAGGTGCTATGTTGATCATGATCGGATTTGTTACTGCGATCGATTCTGTCGCAGTCTTCGGTATTCGAGATTTGTACGAAAAAGAATCAGATATATACTTTGATCGTTATGAGCTAATCTCTTGCTGATTTTGGTTTTCTGGATCTCATTTTTTCCCACTTTGTGAATACGATCTTCCGTTTTCCTTTTCCGATTTTGTCCGATGAGCTGTTCCGTGGTGAGGTGATAGTTGCTACTACTGGTCCATATTAGAGTTTTCTCAGTTTGGTGTTGCTATGGTCGTAGAGATAGAGGTGCTGTAAGTTTTTAGGGTTCTGATTTTGTTAGGTTTTCAAGGAAACGAGGATAGAATTGAAATCGGATCATATCTAACAGAACGAGAAGACAAAGCTTAACCCTAACTTTGTTTCTAACCTTGGTATGGTCAATCGAATTCAAAGAATGAAAAGAGAATGAAGAGACTTGATTTTGTGAGAAATGGGAAAAATTGTTCTGTTTGCTTGTTTTGAATCACTAGTTCCAAACTTCATTTTCCATATCTATAGAGGATAATATTGATGGGGACTTCTATATGATGAATATGGTAGCCTTTTGACCTGTGTGTGCTCTATGATGCAACCAATTTTGGAGAAAACAAGAATTGCAAAACTCCATTAGTTTGGTTCACTGTTGTGGGGAGTTTTTACAAAAGAGCGCAGAGGTTTTCCTCGTTGTTGTCTGTCTAATCTTGGGTTATGCAAATTCTCCTCGTTATCTTGTCTTACATTGATTGACAATTACCAAGACAAAGCTAAACTTTTTCCTCCGCGTGAGGGAAGGATGATGCTGAAAGATCTGAACGAAATTGGTCTTGCTTGGGCTTGTCAGCTGCTTATCAAGTCCCTTCTTTATCAGGGCTTGAGACTGATATTAGAAAGTACAAAACCACTCCCTGTTGACTAGACTTCAAATTGACATGGTTAGCAGGCAATCAGTTTCCATAAAATTTAGAAAGGTTTTACCCTGAGTTGATTGAACTTTGTATTATGCAATATGCATGCATGCTCCTTTGTCTACTCGCCTTTATCGAATTTTGTCTTTTTAGCAGGACCAAGGTCGCCCCTTACCAAAATTCGGTGAATGGGATGTTAATGATCCAGCTTCAGCTGAGGGTTTCACTGTGATATTTAACAAGGCTAGGGATGAGAAAAAAACCGGTGGCAAGCCCGAATCACCTGGTAAAGCCACCGAGACTCATGTTAAGCCTGGGACAGATCCTAGTAAACCTCCGCCTGTAAGTTTGCCTTTCTCACCATCCAATATCATAACTATTTTGAGTAAATTTCTATCCTTTCTTACTTTTTTGATAATTGGTTGCCCATGGGATTTGAACCCTCCTTTCTTACTTTGGATCATGGGTTTATTCTTTTTCAGAAAAAATGGTTTTGCTGCGTATAATCTCCTGTCTGTGGAGTCTTTACAAGAACATCTGAAGATTGTTCTTCTGTTATTTATCTTCTTCCGACATAAGTCCTAGATTCTGGGAGCTTGCAGCAGAATCAGGGACGGTTCCTTCTTGAAGTTGTCTTTAAAGGGTTGTAATATCATTGTTGCCACGGGAACAGAGTGATTGTGTTTATATGTAATGATTGTCTTCATGGTTTATATGTAATGATTATATCATCATGCTGTAGAGTATAGATTCCTGTCATCTTGTTCTTCTTTCCCTTTTTGGGGACACAGATCTTTTATTTTCATTACATCGAATATTGTATTTCCCTTTTGTTCTGTTGCCTTATTTAGCACCTTTCACTTTTCGAGGAAAATTTCAGTCCTTTGGGTTACCGGTCAGGAAACTTTACACTTACTGTAGTATAAAAGAATCAAAGAAGATGATGATGATGATGATGATGATGATGATGATGGTGATGATGGATGAATGATGATCCAACCAAGAAATTGCAGACAAACAGATAGAGACATATATTTTCTTATCATATGATACAAAAGACCGTCAGCCCCCGTCTATCCTTTTTTTTTTCTGTACAGTGATGACATTGACAGGAACAAATCATTGTCAATCTGATCAAACCTTGGAGGCCTGTGGTCCCTATACACACACACACACACCATATATATGTTATATATATGCATCATGTACGCATGCGAATGCACACATACCATAAAATCTGATTATGAGGGGGCAAATTCAAAACACTCGTAAGGAATGAACTCTTGAAATTTAACCTTTGATTGGACATTTGAATCAGATGATTTAACTTCTGTGGACATGTAAAATGAATAATCATGGAAATAGAATATTCACCGCCTATAATGATACAAAATTTGTGAGCACGTTGGCCAATCACAAGCTGCCAATTGTCCACCGAAAACACATCCAACTTTGTCCCTCCCCTCTCTCCCTCTCTCTCTCTCCACTGACTTTGCTGATACAGAGAAAGTTTCCTTCTTTCAAAATTTTCAAACTTCATCTCTCCCGAAGCTCGGAACATTTTTCCGTCGTCTTTCTCTTATCGATTCTATACTCAGGCGTTGTTCTTCGGAGAGACCCGTGGTGTCCATTTCCCGATTAAAAAGCTTTCCTCTGTTTCTCTCTCTTTTTTCTCCGCGAGAGGGAAACAGTCTCTTCCAGATTCTCTCCGAGACTTTCTTGTAGAACATGGATTTCTTGTTTCTGGGTTTCGTTTTTGGGGTCGAAAGACGATAACTTTCCGGGAAAGAAGACGAATATCGGAAGCAAATCGATACTGGTCGTCACCGGTTCTGAGATATTTCCGTCGGCTTGAAGCGTGAGAAAAGGTACTGAGATTGTGGTTCTTTCCCGAAATCGACTGTCTGATTATTGGTTTCTACGATCTGTGCCGTGTTATCGTATCGATTTTGGTTAGGGTCGAGCTTTCTTGTGCGTTGGGTTTGAGCCAGATCAGTTAATGGTGAAAACATTTCTCTGTCTTTGGTTTCTCTCGTGTGATAATATGTTCTTAGGGTTTCGGTTCATATTCCTGTTCTTTTAATATTACGTAACTTTTTCTATTTGTGGAATCGCCATGAAAGATCGAGAAGGACCCTAATCTTCATATGAACCAGAATGAATGCATAGGAAAGTGCTTGAAGGAAGAAACTTTACAGTAACAGTCTGATCAGTGATGAATTGATTCTGATATGCAGAGTGCTAACATGACATTATTCATAATTCTAGACATAATTTCATTTCAATCTGAGATTGAGCCAAAGCTGAATTCCAAAGGATTGTGTGTTTGTGTCAGATTTTTAATCTTGGATTGGTCTGAGGCATCATAAGGAAATGCAAAATGGTTGCTAAGGGAGGCCGGAATTCGACGGGATCTTCCAAGGTGGAGGTCGGGGAGATAGACACAAGCGCACCTTTTCAATCTGTTAAAGACGCGGTTACTCTTTTCGGCGAAAGTGCTCACTCGGGTGAGAAATCCTTCATCAGAAAATCGGATCCTCAATCTGCAGAGGTACAAATCTTCTTCTTGATCTTGTTCTTTGTAGGATAGGATCTTCTTTAAGTCTTGATCTTGGTCTTCTTGATCTGTTTCTTTGGAGGGGCTTCTCAAAATCTGTCATGATTAGTGTATGTATTATGAGTTTGGTTTTTCATTTGCAAAGTTTAGTGAATGAACTTGATTTGGCTGATCCAAATGGTTAAATCTCATGGTTTTGGGAAAGGAACTGTATTCGATGCTGAATCTTAAACAAAGGGTGCTCTTCTATATCATTGTTTCGGTGCAGAAGGTTTTGGCTAAGGAAGGTTCAGACAGAATCGATCATGTGCAGTTCTTGGCTCTCAAATGGATAATCCTTAGAATTCAGCGTATCAAAGGGTCAAAGATAACATCACCACAGAAGAGAGTGAACACTTTCATTTCGCAGAATACAAATCCGAGAACTTTTCCAAGAAAAAAACGTGAAAAGAATAAGAACATCGAGTGACTCTAGAACAGATCTGTGTTTGCGAAGGAACAAACATGAGGATCCAAGACCAGTTCTTGATGAGAAATCTCAGAAGAAGTCGAACTCCAGATAATTGTTGTTCTGGTCGGACCTGCCACCACCCATAGATGTTGCCGGGGCAGGAACATTATCAAGTTCGACCGGTTTCGGTATCTCAGGAGGACTTGCACATCTAACCAGAGCCCAGTTCACTCCTTCGAAGAAAGGATGTTGCTTTATCTCTGTTGCTCCGCGCTTATACGCTAATCTGTGTTGCGGTTCCTTCACAAGCAAACTCCTGATCAAATCCCGAGCTGCGAAACTCACAACCGGAGATTCAGGGAATCGTAGAGGCTGCCCCACTACGTTGAAGAGCGTTGCCCGGTTTCCAGACCCTTTGAATGGAGTTTTACCGAACAAAAGCTCGTACAGAAATATCCCGAAAGTCCACCAATCAACTGCACTTCCATGCCCTTCACAATGCCGAGACAACGAAAGAGGAAGCCCTGGCTGAGCTCGAACAAGCTAAAAGAACAGTTGATGATCTTTCTCACAAGCTGAAAGTGGCCAATGACTCGAGAGATTCAGCAATTATGGCGACAGATGCTGCAAAGAGTCGAGTGAAAGAAATCGAGGAAGCAAAATCAGGAAGTGTTTCCCAGTCCAATGATGCTCAAAAGCAGGACATAGAAAATGTCATGGAACAGCAACGGGCAGTGATTAGTGAGCTTGATATCGCGAAGCAAGAACTGAGAAAAATCCGTCAGGATTCAAATGAGATTTCTGCGACAAAGACTTGCGCTATAAACATGGTAGAGGAAGCTAAGAAAGTGGTTGAAGCTAACTCAGAGAAGATTAGAGAGCTCAGGAAGGAAATTTCAGATGCTAATGAATCTGTTGAACAGATGAAGCTTGCGTGTTTGCAAGTGCAGAGAGAGCAAACTCAAATATTTGCAGAGAAGGATCTTCAAAAGCAATCTTACAGGGCTGGCATGGAAGAGTCAGCAAAGAAGTTACTCGATTTGAAGAACGGGTTTGACCCTGAACTTGCAAAAAAGCTTGAATTGAAGCTGGCTGAAACATATGACGAAATCAGCTCGTTTCAGAAGCAAATGGAGAATGCAAAAGCATCAGATATGGATTCTGTGAGGAGTGTGACAGTGGAATTGATTGATGCAAAGGAGTCGCTTAAGAAACTCGTTGAAGAAGAGAAATCCTCTAAAGAGCTGGTGGAGTCTCTGAAAACAGAACTGGAAAATGTGAAGACGGAACATGATGAGCTAAAGACGAAGGAAGCTGAAACAGAATCCATGGCCGGAAATCTTCATCTCAAGCTAAGGAAAAGCGAAAGCGAGCTTGAAGCATGTCTTGCAGAGGAATCTAATACAAAGGCTGCGTTTGAAGACATGATGTCAACCCTCAATCAATTATCTTCCGAGACGGAAACTGCCCAGCGAGAATCTGAAGAAATGAGAATCAAGGCCGAGGAGTTGAGAAAGGAAGCAGAAGCTGCACATGTTGCGCTCGAAGATGCAGAGCTAAATCTTAGGGTTGCTCTAGACGAAGTAGAAGAAGCAAAAGCTGCAGAGACAAGATCCCTCAAACAAATAAAATCTGTGTCTGAAAAAACCACTGCAGCACGTTATTCAACACCTGAATCCGGTGGCCAGATCACAATGTCCCGGGAAGAGTACGAATCATTGAGCAGAAAAGTCGAGGAATCTGATAGGTTAGCCGAGATGAAAGTGGCAGCTGCATTGGCCCAGGTGGAGGCAGTGAGAGCTAGCGAAAACGAGGCATTGAAGAAGTTAGAGATAACCCGAAAGGATATCGAGGAGTTAAAAGCTGCAACAGAAGAGGCACTGAAGAAGGCAGAGATGGCTGAGTCGGCCAAGAAAGCGGTGGAAGGAGAACTCAGGAGATGGCGGGAAAGAGAGCAGAAGAAGGCAGCCGAAGCTGCGGCTAGGATTCTTGCAGAAGCCGAGAAAGTAGCCATGGAATCATCGCCCCGCCATTACAGAGCCACGGCACAGAAGCCCGCAGAGAGAAAGGTTGAGATCCGAAAACTGGAAAAGACGAGAACTTCAGTGGTCTCAAAGAAAGTGCTTCTACCGAATCTAAGTGGAATCTTTCACAGGAAGAAGAATCAAATGGATGGAGGATCTCCTTCTTATCTTCCCGGGGAGGAACCCTTCTGAGGTTGCTAACCATTTTCCGGTTTCTCGTAAATTTGAGTCAGAGACATTTAGGTTGTGTTATTTGGTTACTACTTGTGGTCATGAAGGTGAGCTTCTTTCTTGCATAAGCTTCAACTTTGTGTGTGACGAAAAAACAAAACAATGGGAAAAGAAAAGATCGAAACTTTGTGTCGGAAATGCGAATCTGTTAAGTACGTTTCTTCATTCGAGAGATAACCGGAGATTAGTCTATACAAAAGCAATCCGGTTTCTGTCGGTATGATTGTTGAATCGGGGATGATTGCATCCAATTCCCGGTTTAGGCCGGTTTAATAACTGGGTCGAAGTTAAGAGTAACATTTAGTACACTGCAGAATAAACCTGGGGTTTCCCATAGCACTGGAAATTGAGAGATCTTCTTCTTGCTCTTCATCTCGCTCGCTTTCCAAAATTTCTGCTTCGATCTCCGAAAATTGAACTTTCCTGCGAATTCAATGGGAAGCGGTAGAGATAGAGAAGACCCTTTGTCATTTACAAGCAACCCGTCATCGGCGTCGTCTCCGATCACCGTCTCCGACCACCTGGACAGCTTTCTTGGCGAACCCACCTCTCGCTCCGGGAGCTTCCAAAACGAGAGCTTACTCGGCGGCGGTGGAGAGAGCATCAGCGACTCCGATTTCGGATTCTCCCGTCCCGATTTCCGGTCGAGCCAACTCGCCGGGACCGTCCAGTTCTACGAGAGGCATGTCTTCTTATGCTACAAGAAGCCCTCCGTTTGGCCCGCGAGAATCGAAGCGGCGGAGTTCGATCGATTACCTAGGCTACTCTCGGCCACCGTGTCGGCGAGGAAGGGTAAAATGAAGAAGGAGGTAGCCTTTCTATTCTCTCGTCTTCTTTTGATGTTCATACATCTGTTACTTGCTGTTAATTGATAAGGATCTCTGGTTCTGAGGATTGTTTGTGATTCAAAGGGATGTGGGTCTGATTAGTTATATTGCTTTGATCCGATGGCTTGTGCTTCCAACTTGCTAATACCACTACCTTTTGCTGCTGTTTGCAAATCTTGTTCACTTGGAGAGATTTACGGTGCTTTAGGATTTGGTGCAGTTTTAGAGCTGGGGTTCGTATTGTTTTTTTTGCTAATTAGAGGTTCAAAGATCTTAATGAAGCGTGAAGAAGTTTTCCTTTAGATTTGCTGGATTTATATTGGATCATGGAGGCCAAAAACTCAGTGTTAGGAAATATATTTGCGTGTTTGTTTTGCTTGAATATCCGCTCGCCAGATAGATATTTGGCTCTGCCTTTAATCTGTATGATGTCCGCATCAGATGTCTTCTGATGCAAAGAGCATATGGTTGTAGATTGTTCTGATATGAGTATCTCCTCTTGTGCAATGTTCTTGTTTCATGTGCTATTCATCTCTGGATTGTCGTTTGTGTATGTGTGTGCATGAATTTGTTTATTATCCTGCACTCTTAAAATGAGGCTTTTACAATGTGGGTTCTTAGGATTTTCATCACTCGTGAACTCTGTCTTGTCTTCTGGTTTTCTGCGTGGTGACTTTTTGCAATGCGACTGTCACTGAATTTGCAGACCCGACTCACAGTATGTGAGGGGCATGATGGGACAGAGACATCAAATGGGGATGTACTGATTTTCCCTGATATGATCAGATACAGGTAAATCGGCTAAATGCTATATGGAGGTCTATACTTTGCCTTGTCTTTAAGCACTGTAACTGATCTAGACTGTTCCAACGAATGCAGAAGGCTGACTCATTTTGATGTGGACACATTTGTTGAAGCTGTGCTTGTGAACGATAGTGAATGGTTTCCGGGAAATCCAGAATTCTTAGAAGGCTCATATGTTTTTGTTTGTTGTCATGGATCGCGGGACAAGCGATGTGGGCTTTGTGGGCCCGCTCTGGTTAGCAGGTTCAGAGAAGAAATAGAATTACATGGTTTTCAATATAAAGTAACTGTCAGCCCGTGTTCTCACATTGGCGGGCACAAGTACGCCGGAAATGTTATCATCTATTCGAACATCAATGGAAAAGTTTCAGGGCACTGGTAAGAAATTCAAGTTTCCATTTTTTTTTTGTAAATCGGAGTTTAGTTCAACCAATCATCTTCTCTATGCATTTCTTTTCAACTTTATGCAACTGTAAAGCTTTTAGATTGAGTGGAGCATCATGTTAACACGATGAAGGAATAAATAACACCAGAAGTTTTGTGTGATGTCTAATTGATAGAACCTCTGTTCTTGACTTGACGATCGAATCATTCTTGTATCTAGGTATGGATATGTGACTCCAGATGATGTACCTGTTCTGTTGGAGCAGCATATCAGAAAGGGCAAAATTGTAGACCGGTTATGGAGGTAAGCTCACTTGTTTCTTGATCTTTCGGTTTGTCTTTGATCTCAATCTTCGGATTCCTCTGCATGGATTATGATTGTGTAAATTTTTCAGGGGTGAAATGGGTCTATTGGAAGAAGAGCAGAAGAAAACTCAAGAAGAAAGGATTAAGTTAAACAATGCAGCAGTCAATACAGACAAGAGGAATGGGAATGTGTCTCAAGAACCAATTCAGAGTGGCAACGTTGTCTGTTGCCAGTCCAGAGAGGCAGAAATTAACGGCTGTTGCCAACAGAATGGGAACTCTTCCTGTCAGGACAGGACACTGTTGTCATATCTGGACAAACCCAGTCAAAATGGGAGCGAGAATGCCGGGAAGCTTATTACTCTCGAAAAAGAGACAGAAAAAGAGAACTTTCAGGTGAATAACGAGGAAGGATCTTCTACTTGCAAGGCTTTTGAAATGCCGACGTGGTTAGAGAACTGGGAGAGAGAAGATACATACGCTGCTATTGCTGTTCTATGCGCTGCTGCATCAGTGGCTCTTGCCTATAGCTGCTACAAGCATTTGTGACGAGATTTGTTCGATTATATCTTCCTCTGTGTCTGTGTTGTTGCTGGAAATGGAAGTGATTTGTTCGGCCAAGAGTTGTGTCCCCAAGAGTTAAGGGGGTTTGTGTAAGAATGGTTATATAATATATTCTTTCGATTCTCTCTGTTTGTACTCTGGAATGAAAGCAAACCACTGAAGGAGAAGACAAGAACAGGTTCAGACAGAATCGATCATGTGCAGTTCTTGGCTCTCAAATGGATAATCCTTAGAATTCAGCGTATCAAAGGGTCAAAGATAACATCACCACAGAAGAGAGTGAACACTTTCATTTCGCAGAATACAAATCCGAGAACTTTTCCAAGAAAAAAACGTGAAAAGAATAAGAACATCGAGTGACTCTAGAACAGATCTGTGTTTGCGAAGGAACAAACATGAGGATCCAAGACCAGTTCTTGATGAGAAATCTCAGAAGAAGTCGAACTCCAGATAATTGTTGTTCTGGTCGGACCTGCCACCACCCATAGATGTTGCCGGGGCAGGAACATTATCAAGTTCGACCGGTTTCGGTATCTCAGGAGGACTTGCACATCTAACCAGAGCCCAGTTCACTCCTTCGAAGAAAGGATGTTGCTTTATCTCTGTTGCTCCGCGCTTATACGCTAATCTGTGTTGCGGTTCCTTCACAAGCAAACTCCTGATCAAATCCCGAGCTGCGAAACTCACAACCGGAGATTCAGGGAATCGTAGAGGCTGCCCCACTACGTTGAAGAGCGTTGCCCGGTTTCCAGACCCTTTGAATGGAGTTTTACCGAACAAAAGCTCGTACAGAAATATCCCGAAAGTCCACCAATCAACTGCACTTCCATGCCCTTCACCTTTGATGATCTCAGGAGCCAAGTACTCATGTGTACCAACAAAGGACATTGAACGGGCATTTGTAGGCTCGGCTATGAGTTCAGGCAGCGGGCTTACCTGGTTTCCTGTCTCGTTTTTCATCTTCTTGTCTTTCTTGGATTTACTGGAGAAGAACCGTGGGGAAAAACATGTAGTGGGAGCCATGGCCATGCAAGATGGTTGTTGGATGCAAGCAGGTTGCGCACAGTAGACCGAGTTCTTTTGCAGAGTCTCAGATCCAAGAGCAGTTGACCTCACCACTGTAGGACTAACAGCACATCTGAGGGAGAGGTCGAAGTCAGAAAGCATCACATGCCCGTCTTCTCTCACAAGAACATTCTCTGGCTTTAGATCACGGTAGATGATTCCAAGCATGTGGAGATATTCCAGTGAAAGTAGTACCTCTGCTATATAAAACCTGAAAGAACAAAGAATCATATGATGTAACGAGAACACGGTTACGATGTGAGTCGTGAGATGAGGAAATAGTTTCCCTTTTGAGATGTTTGTTTTGTGATTAGATGCTGCAACTTGCAAGTTTCCGTTTTTAGAAAACCAGGAAAGGCATCTCTTCCCATCTTGCCGAGAGAGAGTCCAAAACTTCAACACATGATACCTAGAACAAAACATGCCAACTAACAGATGCCTCATCTGTTGTTTTGCAAAATGTACTCATAGTCAAAATTCATTTTATTTTAATGCATTGATTGTGTAGGAAGTGGTTTCCAGTGACAAAAAACGAAGGCAGAGAGTAAAGAGCAATCAGATTGAACACTTAAATGGATCATGATTCATGTTTTTCTTACTTCGCTGCTTGCTCAGGGAAACGCTTTCCAGGCTGCCTTTGTCGAAGGGTATGCAAATCACCTCCAGGACAGAACTCCATAACCAAACACGAGAACTTCTCTGTCTCAAAATGACTATACAATGTAGGAAGAAAAGGGTGGTCAAGACACTGCAATATCTCCCTCTCTGTTTGAGCTCGGAGAAGCTTTTTCCGGCTAGCCAAAGCAGCTTTGTCCATAACCTTCATTGCAAAATAACACTTTGTCCCGTTCAACTCAGCAAGATGGACGGTTCCAATATCTCCACATCCCAACCTCTTCAAGAGCCTAAAATGGTTTAAACCCAGAAAACCATGCTTGGACCGAACAGCTTGTATTGCCTCCCACCTCACATCATTTGCCTTGTGAGGCTTGTTAATGCTACTTAAACTGCTACAAGTGCTTTCATCACTGACATCACTGCTCGTGCTTGGTCTACACGTGCTGTTACTCTTCCCGCTCTCAGCAAGATCAGGCTGCTCACTAAGTTTAGCGCTTCTGCTGGTTTTGCTGTCACTGCTTGGTTCATCAAAAGACAAAGTTGACGATACTTGATCTGCCAAAGTGTTGACCGACATACTTGGGCTGGAGCTAGAAAGTGTTCCTTCTGGGGTTTGAATGTCTCCCTTCTCCCTCACCCTTTCTGGATGAAATCCAGAACCAGATCTCGAGGCCATGGAGGAAAATGGTTGTGTTGTAGATACTAGAAACCCATCATCTAGCTTCCAAGATCCAGGGAACTACTCTACTCTAAACTCCAGTTACCACTGTTGTCACAGATTCCATCAAACAATAGCCTGAGATAAGATTTGTTCAAGAAGAAGAAGAAGAAAAACTGGGGCTACTTATCAGAGTAATCACCATGAAAGCCCTACAATATTCAGATAACATGCGATAAGATTTGTTCAAAAAGTTAAATGGGGAAGCTCAACCATCAAGACTTTCAATTATCATGGATATTGAGCTGAGCTTTCATTTTCACCTTAATCAAGCACCAGACTTTACCACACAATTAAGTAAAAAAAACACACATAAACCCCATAAAGTTCCTATATTTAGATTGGATATAAACTCAGCAGTAGCCGCGGCTCTTCCATAACGGTCAGTTTCCAGTTTTATTCTCAGGATCATGCGCTTACAAACCAATCACGAGAGAGAAAAATTGAAATCCTAGAAGAATTTGATTGCCAATGCATACCACAAATCAAACCATTTATGGATCTCGAGTTAAAATCTCACTGAGAATCACCACATCAATATTATAATTACTCCAAAGAAATTCAGTGCGCTCTCAAATCCTCAATAATCCTATGGAGAACATAGATTAGAACAAACATTTCATGCAAAGTAGAGTTTTTCCGAGGCTCGTAACAGATCTCAGATAAGCAAGAACGACGAAGCAATCTTCCTTCTGGATCTAGCGAGACCAAGAGAAAACCCAGTTGCTAAAACCCCGAAAAGGAAGAGACTTTGATGAGAAAAGTCGCAACCCAATACCTGAATAATCGCTCTGAGAGACTTGAGATCTCAGACCCTTTTTTGTCCCTTTTTCCCGGGAAGTAAGCAGGGGGAGATGAAGAGGAGGGGGAAGAAGAGGAAGATGAAAAAGCAGACAACTTTCACTGTTCATGCATCGCTGTAGAGATAGATATAGAAATGGAGGAATTCATCTCCCTCCATGGAAATGTAGAGAGAGAGAGAGAGAGAGAGAGAGAGAGAGAGAGAGAGATCAGAGAGTGGGAAAATAGTTGGGTCTACCATCAAAAGAGGGGAGAAAGGAGGGTCAAAGGAAAAAGCCTTCAACTTTTTAGGCTTCAATTATTTTCATGTATTTTTGTTTTCTCGACAGTGGAAGACAAAGGTTTCAATCAAGAATGAACATAAAAAATATTAATAATAAAATATAAAAACACGATAATTTTCATTTTAGATGACGCGTAGAAGGTTTCTCCATTGATTAAATCATCGATTTGTTTAAAAAAAATTAGATTTTGATATATGTTATTAGCTTAAAAATATCACATATTGTTTACATATACATATACGCCATTAAAAGGCATGCTTCTGATTAAAATATTATTGTCATACTTTGCTGAAGATTACAAAATGTACCAATAAAATATTAAGATTGTGCTTATAAACATTTTTTTTACGGCTAACTCCAATCTGAAAAATATGGTAAATGTAAATTTTAAAGGTCAGGAAATATAATCCGACCTTATTATATTTATCTAAAAAACCTAAAAGTACACAACGTGTACTCATATCATCATTCTTCCAATACCCATTATCCAGAAAATAAAAATTCTTTGATTAAATTGTGGTGGAAAAAATATATATTGTGGATAAATGACAAACAAGAGCCGAACACTAATGGTTAGGCAAAAGCTTGCCTGCGACGCGCAATATTGGAGCGTGCAAGGCACGCACTCTTAACCCCACTACACGCACGCACCATTTGATTCGGTCCTTCTATTTTTATTTAAAATAGTTATTTAATTTTATTATATTCAACTGATTTTTTATATTAAATTCATATAAATGTAATTATATTATTCAATTTAATTTTACATACTAACAGGCGGGATTCGCGTAAAAGAAACTCTCTTGGTACCTCTTATCTCTCACCCATTTTCTAAAAAAAATTTATAAGCCCTCTGAAGTCATTTTGAGTGGATAATAACGTGGTAAATTCTAAAAGTTACATTTTACTTTTTTGCTTTTTATTTTTTGTTTGTTGATGGGTGTTTGTTTTTTTCACTCCCAATAATGGTATGCCCGCAATCTCCGTCTTGGCCCATGGGGTAAAATATTTTTATTCCATACAAAGATAAAATGGTATTTAGTGTTTTAATCCTATTTTCCTTTTAACATATCCATAAAAATCGTACATGGTAATGTAAAATTTGTTTCCCATCATTACCATTTCATGAGAGTCATATTTTAATGAGTCGCACCATATAGTATATGGAAAATGCAAGAATCAAATAACTAATAGTATATAATAAATTGATTTGTTATTTTATCTTATAGCATTGTGAATTTTTACAATAATAATAATAATCAGGCGAATTAAAAAATATATGAAGTTGAATCGAAATAACTCTTGATTGGTATTTTTTATAGTGAAAACTAAAATAAGTCGCCTAAATTTGTAACCGTTCAATTGCCAATGAAAAATTTATAAATATAAACATTTCATTTATCTTTTGGATTTTGGAATATACAAAATGGAAAGTGAATCTTGCTATGGAAAGAAACTCATACATCAATTTGTACATCACATTTATATCTCTCTATGTATGTAACCCACTCGTAGGGAGAAATAATACAATTAATTACTAAAAATTGACTATGGGTTAGAGGGATTAAGTGGACGAAAAGCTCAATAAACCTCCTAGTTATAAAAAAAAAAATGTATCTATGTATTGAATTTTTTTATTTTTAAAATAACCAGAGATTGGTTATAAATAATAAATAAATATACTTGCGCTTTTTTAGATTGGGCTTTAATGGGCTTCAATGGGCCCACATTTTTGGGTCTTAGTCACATGATTGATGGACCTTTTAGTTTTACCTGTAATCGTAAATAGATTTAAAGTGGCTTATACGGGTCTTAAAATATTATATTTAAACATTTTTTTTAGATTGATCAAGTTTGGTTGTAATTAATAAAAAAAAATATATAATCGAATAAGTGCTAAAAATAAGGTAAGTTTATGCAAGGGACCATGATTTCAAAGGGTTAGATGAAGATATGGTGGAATCCAATGGGATCAGACTCTTTAATTGTAGACACACACACACCCACCCACGCATATGTGTGTGTGTGTGTGTATATATATATATATATATGTTAATGCATGTAATTTGAGCAATTGAAGGAATTAATTAATGTATGTGATGTGATGATGTTCTTAAGTAAAGTCCAGGTTCATATGTTAATCTCCGGGGCTTCTAACACTCTTTCTCAATCCGAGTCTCTCTAAGATCCAGACATCTATCTATATTTATTCTTTCACAACCTGTCATTTTGTTTTATATCATTTGGTCCATTTTCATACTCATACTATTAATTACTAAATATACACACAAACCGAGGAAATTCTTCCTTACTATGGCCAGCCATCACACGTCTTGCAATGTCTATATATATATATATATATACACACTATTCATATTTTTATGTTAATAATTTATGTTTTTTTAAATAATGTATTTACACTATTAGATTTTGTTAGTTTGATTAATGTTTATTTTTGTCCACGACGCGTTATTTCGTTTTTGCGTTTCTGTTTTTGGCCATCTTTGTACAGGTTGCAGTTAGAGAAAAACTAATACGATGGGGAAAAAAATAACTATTATGGTCAATAATCATTTATTGTTTCTGGGAAATCCATGAATCGTGATTCTAAAATCGGATTCAGCTTCTAACCCTCTTTCTCAATCCGAGTCTCTCTAAGATCCAGACATCTATCTATATTTATTCTTTCACAACCTGTCATTTTGTTTTATATCATTTGGTCCATTTTCATACTCATACTATTAATTACTAAATATACACACAAACCGAGGAAATTCTTCCTTACTATGGCCAGCCATCACACGTCTTGCAATGTCTATATATATATATATATATACACACTATTCATATTTTTATGTTAATAATTTATGTTTTTTTAAATAATGTATTTACACTATTAGATTTTGTTAGTTTGATTAATGTTTATTTTTGTCCACGACGCGTTATTTCGTTTTTGCGTTTCTGTTTTTGGCCATCTTTGTACAGGTTGCAGTTAGAGAAAAACTAATACGATGGGGAAAAAAATAACTATTATGGTCAATAATCATTTATTGTTTCTGGGAAATCCATGAATCGTGATTCTAAAATCGGATTCATCTTGCCGTCTAAGCAATATTCTTTGCCAATAGTAACCAAAAGTATTTATCCCAAATTCTGACAAAGAAAAAGTATATATCGCAAAGAATATATATACACACATTTTTTTTTTTTTAATAATCAGGATAGTTATCCGGACGGCCCGGCTACATCCATCTAGATTCGGGATCAATCTTTGTATATAGACCATTTTGATCAAGAAATTACATCTCTCCCCACATGTAGAATCGAACCCATTACACACATATTTTATAAGTGTTTTGAAGGAAAAATGTAATTAATCTGCCCAGAACGTGTATATATATAGAATTTACATATTGGAAGGAAATTCACACTGCCCGGATACTCAGTAGTATAGTCATAAATCTGTAAAAAAGCAAGAACTGTGTTCATGCTGACGTAGTTCTCTCTATACATTTTTTAAAAAAAAAAGACTGAACCTTTTCATCTAACATCCCCTCTGATGTAAAGCCAACCCCAACAGATTCTATTTTCGTCGGCTTGAGATAATTTCCCTTGAAAATCTGCAGAGCCGGAGCTGAGTCCCATCGGCCGGAGAATAAGTCCAACATCATTATAACTGGTAAAACAAATAACGTGCGGGAGACATTTTAACCTTTCTCTGTTTCAGGGTCTTTTCCCTTTTCCGGCGAGCTTTCCGCCGGAAACTTCACTGGAACAGCGAAGTCTGAAGAAAAAGGAAACACATACTAGTAGAGAATGGCGAGTTTCGAAGTCGCCGGAGCTGAGTCCCATCGGCCGGAGAATATGTCCAACATCATTATAACTGGTAAAACAAATAAACGTAGTTCATGTTATTCAGTATTGATCCGGTTTGGTTTTGGTATGAAATGGATTAAACCGGGGGAGGTTGGTCTGGCACTTTGGCAGATGAAGAGATAGGAGAGAAGGAAGAGAACGACAGTCCAGTAGAAGAAGTCCGGCTTACCGTGCCGATAACCGACGATCCGACAGAACCGGCACTGACGTTCAGGACATGGACACTGGGGACAATATCGTGCGTACTGCTTGCGTTCGTGAACCAGTTCTTCCAGTTGCGGACGAACGTACTAAGCGTGACAGCAGTCTCGGTTCAGATCATCGCTCTGCCGCTTGGGAAGTTAATGGCCGGGACCCTGTCGAGGAGGAGGTTCGGGTTTCCGGGGACGAACTGGACGTGGTCACTGAACCCGGGACCTTTCAGCAAGAAGGAACATGTCCTCATCACCATATTTGCCAGTGCAGGTTATTCAGTAGCTTATGCCACAAACATTATCATCGCCGTCAAAGTGTTCTACCACCAAAAGCTTGATGCTCTGCCCGCTATGTTGCTCGTCCAAACGACTCAGGTAAAACTCGAATTGCTAAATTCATCATCAAGATCAGATCTTCAACCTCTCTGATCTATCTCGCAGTTGCTGGGATATGGATGGGCTGGACTGTTTAGGAAATTCCTGGTGGATTCGCCATATATGTGGTGGCCTTCCAATTTGGTTCAAGTCTCCCTCTTCAGGTTCTTTTTTTTTTTTTTTTGGGTTTTGTCTTGTTAAACGTTAAACCCACCCCCATCTCCCTTATTCCTTCTTCTTTGTCTCAGAGTGTTGCATGAGAAGGAGGAGAAGCGTGAAGGCCAGCGCACACGGCTGCAATTCTTCCTCCTCGTCTTTTTAGCGGGCTTTGCTTACGCCATTGCCCCAAATTACATTTTCCCTTCCATATCGGCTATTTCCGTTGTTTGCTGGATATGGAAGAACTCGGTGACTGCCCATCAGATCGGTTCAGGGATGAATGGTCTTGGCATCGGATCTTTCGGCCTTGATTGGTCAACGGTCGCTATGTTAGGCAGTCCTTTGGCTGTTCCTTTCTTTGCCATTCTCAATATCTTTGTCGGTTTTGCCATCTTCATTTACATAGTCCTCCCTATCTTGTACTGGGGCAACTTCTATGACGCCAAGAAGTTCCCAATATATATTCAAGATGTCTATGATCAAACCGGGGCGCAATTCAACACCACACACATCCTCAATCACAGCACGTTCGATATCAATTTGCCCGCTTACGAAAGCTACAGCAAGCTGTACATGTCTGTCGTGTTAGCCTTGGTCTATGGACTTAGCTTTGGTAATCTCACAGCCACCATTTCCCATGTTGCCCTCTTTGATGGAAAGTACGCATCTTTTCTTTTCCTATGACATCTTGGGTTATATTCCTTCCCCTACAAAAAAAAATCCGACTTTTACTATCTCATCTTGTGTAACTGTTAGGTTTATATGGGAGATGTGGAGAAAGAGTTCATCAGCGGCCAAGGACAAATTCGGAGATGTGCATACGAGATTGATGAAAAAGAACTACAAAGCAGTACCTCAATGGTGGTTCACAGTCATTTTGGTCATATCTTTTGGACTTTCCCTCTGGGCCTGTGAGGGCTTTGATAAACAACTTCAACTCCCATGGTGGGGGCTTATACTCGCATGTGCCATCGCCTTGTTCTTTACCCTGCCCGTCGGAGTAATCCAGGCAACAACAAACCAGGTGATGACGAGAGAACCTTATGCGCGACGGGAGTCACTCATGTTGCTGAAACGAATGAATTTGACATTAAGTTTTACGATTTTTGCAGCAAATGGGACTGAACGTGATCACTGAGTTGGTCATCGGGTACCTCTACCCTGGAAAGCCTTTGGCAAATGTATCCTTTAAGACATATGGATATATAAGTATGTCCCAAGCGCTAACCTTCCTCCAAGACTTTAAACTGGGCCACTATATGAAGATCCCGCCGAGATCTATGTTCCTTGTCCAGGTACAACTACAAGGACAGTAAACATTGTTTGATTCCAGTTTATCTGACATTCTTCCAGCTAAAATGAATGCTATTGTTTTTACCTTTCAGTTGGTCTCAACTATTGTCGCATCGACCGTCTGCTTTGCGACAATATGGTGGCAAATCATAAACATTGAGAATGTCTGCCAGACAGACTTGCTTCCCAAAGATAGCCCATGGAAATGTCCAGGCCCAAGGCTATTCTACAATGCTTCAATCATATGGGGAGTCATCGGTCCGGGAAGAATGTTCACAAATAAAGGTGTCTACCCAGAGATGAATTGGTTCTTCCTAATTGGCATCCTCGCCCCTGTTCCTGGTTGGTACCTGTCAAGAAAGTTCCCAGAAAAGAAATGGATCAAGCAAGTCCACATACCCTTGATCTTTGCAGGGTTGAACGGGGTACCATATGTAAAAGCCGTGCATTACTGGTCTTGGTTCATCGTTGGGGTTATATTCAACTATTTCATATTCAGGAAGTTCAAGGACTGGTGGGTAAGACACACCTACATTATGTCTGCGGCTCTGGACGCAGGCACTGCATTCATGACGGTAGCTATCTTCTTTGTGTTCCAACACAATGATATTAACATTCCCCATTGGTGGGGGACCACATCCGGTGACCAATGTCCTTTGGCATCATGTCCTACGGCCAAAGGAATGGTCACCAAGGGTTGTCCGGTCTTCTAAGGAATCCTCAAGAAGGCTCTCGTGGATGAGAAGGTTGCTCCAAGTTGTGATTCATGAAGGTGATTGATTGCTGTCCAAGGACAAGCTGCAGAAAAATTCGATTGTTGGACGATTGCAGAAGTGCTGTAAACACTGTTATTAAGAAGTGATTGATTAACACGTAACTAGTAAATTTGGTTCCATTCCTTTGTTTAAGCACACAGTTTACATCTTACAAGCGCGTGGAAATAAGAACCGCAAAGATCATAAACTTGACGAAAAACGTAACAGAGTACCAACCATTTCTGAAACCCTAGCATAGAATCAACGTCACCTCTGATGTAGAATCTAATAGAAGTAACACCTTCTGAAACCAATGTTGTATTGGGAAAAAAAAACACTAAGACAATAGAAAAAGCATGTGAAGAAACTCTCACGAAGCCTATTACCTTCCATCCAAACCTCGAGTTCTTATGCTCTGTTTCTGAAGCAACATCGTACGTGAACACGAGCGAAACTATGGTGCTTCGAATTGAAGGATACTAAAGAGTTCAAGACCATGAGAAGATCGAGGTTGCAATCCCATACCTGAGTTCGCCGTTGCTCCTCGTCCCCATCGACGACTCGATCGGGACTCGCTGAGTCGGTCGTGACGATCCGCCCCACAGCCGCTGAGAAGACGATGACGGAGGAGTTGCAGAGGGGAATCAGGGAAGAGAGCTGCGAGAGAGGAGCTCGTGTTTGTTAGCGATGGTGATACAGTATAAAACCGGGTCGAATAACGGGTCGCCTGATTTGTCATCAAAACCCGGTTCCATCAAATTTTCTAAATTAATTTACCTTTGAACGATAAAACCATATAATATTACCAGAAAAAAGGGTTAATAATCCCATAAAAAAAAATTGCCAAACTTGTAAAAAAGCGTTGGTGTTGCAACTTCCTTAAAAACGGTTGATCAAAATTTCTATCATCGGAGAGTAACGTATCATGACAGAATGTCTACATAGCGTTGACTAAATTATCATGCTAACAAAATAAAAATAAAAACATTTTAAAACGTAAAATAAAATACATATATAAATGCATGCATGTATACGAAAGGTTTTTACCGTTGGGGATTTTTATGGGATTAAACAAAAAAACAACGATAAACCAGACAAAATATTCCCTGGATAGGAGCAGCAGATTCAACACAAACCTCGAATCAGGTGACTGCGTATGTCGATGTTGCCATGGCTTCTATAAATAGAAACTGGATCTTCATCTACGTCCCCTCGATTCAATAATAGCAAACCAGACAGATGTTCTCTCTCTCTCTAGTTTTTTTGTTCACCGTTTCGTGTAATCTTAGCCAATGGTCTCTATATATACCTGGCGTTCTTGCTCCCATGCAAAATGTACGGGGGGTAGGGTCCCAGACATTTTCACCTTCTCCGTTTCCGAATCTTTCCTTGTTTTTTGTTTCTGGCGAGTTTTCCGCCGGAGATTTCACCGGAATATTATTCAGACAACGGCGTGGGAAGAAAAACAGGACTAACAATGTCCAGTTTCGAAGTCGCCGGACCTGAGACCCATCCCCCGGAGGGAAAGGCCAACACCATCATTGCCGGTAACGTAGTCACATTTCATCCCGGCCATGCTCCGGTTTGGTTTCCGTTTCTGACGGCGGCTTGAATCGGTTATTGTTTTTTGCAGATGAAGAGGCTCAAGAGGAGGTGGCAGATAGTCCAATAGAGGAAGTCCGGCTAACGGTGCCGATTACCGATGATCCGTCAGAACCGGTTCTGACATTCAGGACATGGACATTGGGGATCATCTCATGCGCAGCACTTGCTTTCGTGAACCAGTTTTTCAGCTACAGGACGAACAACCTCACGGTTTCGTCCGTGGCGGCTCAGATCATTGCTCTGCCCGTAGGAAGGCTCATGGCCAAGACGCTGCCGACGAGGAAGTTCACATTTCCAGGGACGAACTGGACGTGGTCGCTGAACCCGGGACCCTTCAACATGAAGGAACATGTCCTCATCACCATTTTCGCCAGTGCAGGTTATGGAGGAGCTTATGCTACAAACATCGTCACCATTGTCAAGACGTTCTACCACCGGAAGCTCGATCCCGTGGCCGCTATGCTGCTTGTGCAAACCACCCAGGTAATGTGAATTCCAGCTACCGAAAAACGGAATTTTTCTGTCCCGAGATCCTCAATCCTTGACTTGGTGCATTTGTTTCACAGCTGCTAGGATACGGGTGGGCTGGAATATTCAGGAAATTCCTGGTGGACTCGCCATACATGTGGTGGCCATCCAATTTAGTTCAAGTCTCCCTCTTCAGGTACTTTTCAACAAAGGTTTTGTCCTGTTAAACCGATCTCTCTAGCCCGTAATCTCATTTTGTGAACTCTTCTTGTCTCAGAGTGTTGCACGAGAAAGAGGAGAAGCGTGAAGGCCAGCACACACGGCTGCAATTCTTCCTCATCATCTTTTTTGCGAGCTTTGCTTACTACATTGTTCCCGGTTACCTCTTCCCTTCCATATCGGCTATTTCCTTCGTTTGCTGGATATGGAAGAACTCCGTGACTGGCCAGCAGATCGGGTCGGGGATGCACGGTCTTGGCATCGGATCTTTTGGCGTTGATTGGTCAACAGTCGCTGGTTTCTTAGGCAGTCCTCTGGCTGTCCCTTTCTTTGCCATTGCCAATTTCTTTGCCGGTTTCGTCATCTTCTTCTACATCGTCCTCCCTATCTTCTACTGGGGCAACATCTATGAGGCCAAGAAGTTTCCATTCTATACTTCAGCTCTATATGATCACTCCGGGCAACGCTATAACATCACACAAATCATCAATCAGGAAACATTCGACATCAATTTGCCCGCTTACGAAAGCTACAGCAAGCTCTATATGGCTGTCATGTTCGCCTTGGTTTACGGACTTAGCTTCGCTACTCTGACTGCCACCATTTCGCATGTTGCCCTCTTTGATGGAAAGTAGGGATCTATTCCTCTCATAGCTCGAGCTAGTCCTTCCCCTACGAAAACCGCTTCTTACTATCTTATCTTGTGGTCTGCTAGGTTTATTTGGGACATGTGGAGGAAGACCTCAACTGCAGCCAAGGACAAGTTCGGAGACGTGCACACAAGATTGATGAAAAAGAATTACAAAGCAGTACCTGAGTGGTGGTTTGTAACCATTTTGGTCCTTTCGTTTGCACTTTCCCTCTACGCTTGTGAAGGCTTTGGAAGACAGCTTCAGCTCCCATGGTGGGGTCTTATACTCGCATGTTCCATCGCCTTCTTCTTCACCCTGCCTATCGGAGTAGTCCAGGCAACAACAAACACGGTAATGACGAGAGAACCTTACATTGGAGTCATTCTCCTCACTGAATCCAATGAATTTAACAAAGTTTCATGGTATTGTAGCAAATGGGCCTAAACGTGATTACCGAGTTGATCATCGGGTTCATCTACCCTGGAAAGCCTCTGGCAAACGTAACCTTCAAGACCTATGGATATATCAGTATGGCCCAAGCACTGTACTTCCTCGGAGACTTTAAACTGGGCCATTATATGAAGATTCCGCCGAGATCTATGTTCGTTGTTCAGGTACCACTACAAAGACAATAAACATTCTTCGATTCCGGTTGATAGACCTTCTTTCACCTAACACAAATGCTACTGTATTACCTTCTAGTTCGTCGCAACTATTATTGCATCGACCTTTAGCTTTGGAACGACGTGGTGGCTCATCACAAGTGTTGAGAACATCTGTGACACAGACTTGCTTCCTGAGAGTAGCCCATGGACATGTCCTAACCATACGGTTTTCTACAATGCTTCAATCATATGGGGAGTCATTGGTCCGGGGAGAATGTTCACCAAGAAAGGTGTCTACCCCGAATTGAACTGGTTCTTCCTTATTGGCCTCCTCGCCCCCGTTCCTGGTTGGTACCTGTCAAGAAAGTTCCCAGAAAAGAAGTGGATCAAGCACATCCACATGCCCTTGATCTTTGCAGCGACAAGCCCAGTACCAGTGGCAAGAGCCGTGCATTACTGGTCTTGGTTCATCGTTGGAGTTATCTTCAACTATTACATATTCAAGAGGTTCAAGGAATGGTGGGCAAGAAACACCTACATTTTGTCCGCATCTCTGGACGCGGGCACTGCATTCATGGCGGTAGTCATCTTCTTCGCGTTGCAAAACAACAACATTAACATGCCCGACTGGTGGGGGAACGAGGCCGATGACCACTGTCCTTTGGCGAGATGTCCTACCGCGAAAGGAATCGTCACCAAGGGTTGTCCAGTGTTCTAAGGCCGTTGCCTAGATGGGAAGGCTGCTCCGAAGTTCCGAGCCTTGAATGTTGATTGATAGCTACCGAAAGATGTCTCTTGCTCTTACAATCTGTACAAAAAAGATAGAGGCTGTTTATTGCTGAATGATTTAAGTGTTTCATTATATGAAAGGTGTAAACACTATGATTAAGAAGTGATGTAATTATTAGATTTGGTTTCATGCACTGTTTAAATACAGAGTTTGCACCTTGCAATGCGTAGAACTGAGAACCGTCGAGATCATACCTGAAAAACTAGCCATGAGAATGTAGAATTAACAAGAGTCGGATGTATAATCTATCAGCAGCACACGTTCTGTAACAGTTCTGTACAGAGCACATTGGGGAACATCCGAGGCCATAGAAAAACAAGAATGCATGTGAATAGGCTCTCAAATCAATTTCATTCCCTCCAAAGTTCCAAACTTGAACAAGATTCTTAGTATTGCAAACAAGAAACCCTAAGAACTTGAGTTGCCGAAGATGATGAAAAGAAAAAGCAAAGTTCTACATAGCTACGTCCATCTTCATTTGAAAAGTCCAGGGTTAAGCCAGTTTCTGCAATTAATCAAAGAATGACTTTTTTTTTTAGTACCCAAAAAGAAATTAACATCGGATTATGGATGCCTGTTCTGTTACAAAGTGTACAGTACAATTGTTATCGCACTTACTCAGTGACGTCGCCAAGGCGATCATCAAAATCTGTGATGTCCTTCCATTTCTCCGAGGAAATGTAAAGTGTGTAATCTGACAAAACTACATTACCCGATGATTCCTTCAATCTCCAATTCTTGGAAGCATCCTTGCATAAAGCTAACACGTTAATACAACAAAAATTATTACTAAAGGAAACAATGTGGTCTATTGAAACTGAGGCCCTTCCTTATATTCATAGTATCTGGCTCATCCGAGTTTTCAGAGACTGTTGTGGTGAACAGAAAGTTCCAAATAAATCAGTAGACAAAGTTTTGAAGGAAATTCCCTAATTTCTCAGGTTAATAGATCTCTGACACAGGAGAAGCTGCTTGTCCAAAACAAAAAGCATTTTTCGCACAATACAAGTAGACCAGGAGTGGCATGTCAATCAGATTGTGGTTCAAAATACCAACCTGCATGCTGCATCACAGGGCTCCGATCTTTACGAATTTACCCTTTGATAAAGCTTCGAGCTTTCTGTTGTCTAACTTAAAACACAACAGTAGAGAGAATCAAAATAGATGCTAGAATACAGTTTTGAGAAATAAGAAAACCACAACACTTTAAAGTAAAGGGCTAATATTCACCAAGAGAATTGGAGCCTGAGGCAAATAGCGAGCAATGTGGACACCAATGTTCTTTGCAACACCACAGAGATCAAAGATCATCAAACCTTTTCGTTCACGTGAAAGTACCCCACGATGCTCACACCTTGAGCCACATAATGGTCCTCAATCTAATCCCAGGCAACAAAAAATGCTAGAATCCATCAGTTTCGAGACTCGGATCATGCAAAAATGGGGCTACAACTTCTGCAGATTCCTATTCGCATTGAGAGGACAGCAGAATGCATTCCTAGTCGTTAATTCCAACGCAATTTGAGATCTTTATCCTTGCCCTTAAAATATAAACCATAGAAAACTTCCCCCAAGAACAAGCAGCAGATTCTGCAAAAGAACAATCTGAGGAAGCGCCCCTCTGTTGCCTTGTCTACTAGCACACAGTGAAACGGCGATTGGCAGCTCGTCGTACACATCTACGCATTTAGAATCGACCGTCATCTTCAAAATTCGATTTTGAAAACTGAAAAGAGGACCGATTTCAGAGAGACAGTGAGGATATCAAAGGAGAAGAAGAAGAACCACAGACCATGATGAGCGCGAGACCTACAGAGGAGAAAGTAGAGCAAGTTGGAGTGGAAAAGCGGCACAGAATCCGAGATATCCACGATGCCGTCGTCCTTAGGGCTGAATCGGCCAACGAGAACGCCGTTGACCGCCGCATTCTTGTGCGGAGGCGCGTGCAGGACAAGCTTGATGTACGCGTTCTGCCAGATCTCATACCTCAGCTCGCCGTTCTCCATTACTGACTCGAATGGAAACTCACTGAGTCCGTCCGTACGATCACGAATACTCGCCGCCACGGGCAGAAGAAGATCACGGCGGAGTTGCAGAAGAATCCGAGAGAAGAATGTTCTGAGCGGAAACTCCTCTGTTAGCTATGGTGATGGCCGCATATAACCGGGTCGAATATTCGGGTCACCCGATTCCAATTAATTTTTAATTAACTACCTTTATTATCTTAAATTACAGAAAAGTCACGAAATTAAATATAATTCTACGTTAACCCCTATACGTTCGATTTGTAACGGTAATCCTATAGTCTTTGGGCCTAATAATCCTGGCCCAGAAATCTAGTCCAACAATTTTACTGTTGACTGAGTGGGCCCACATGCAATCATTTGACAGATTAATTAGCTGTAATTCAATTATTAGACACGCATTATTACATGGTTATTTATAACCCTTTCAAAACATAGATACGCGAGACATTTTCCAATAGAAACAAGACAGAATAAAATACGGAATAGGAGAACGTGTTAGACGAAGGTGTGGCCATTGTGTCGTGCATGTTCGAGGCATATGGCATTTAATTTCACAACTTGTTTTATAAAAATCCATTTTGGGGTTTACAGAGGGAAAAAAAATAATAATTAAAGAATAACAAATGATGGGTTTCTAAACTTTATTATATAAGATATACTATAATGCCCTAGCTTTTATTTTCATTTTTAGCCACATTATTATTCAGAAACACCTGTTAATGATAAGATCCTTAGACATTAAAAACATAAGAAATCCATAGCTTTATGCTGGGGATTTGCTTATATTTACAGCTATTAATGAAGATACGAACCAGTAATCTAAGTTGATGATTCATTACAACAGTTTGGAGTGGCCGGCCGACAAAAACATCGGCGAGGGTATTTTGGTAATTTAGATGGTTCTTGATGTGGTCGTCTTCTCCATTAAAGGCCAATCATCAACTTCCATTATTATCTGAAAAAATAGATCTCCTAACTCTGTAATCGTCAAAAAGTCCACTTGCGCAAACCCGCGTACTCTCTCTCTCTCTCTGTGAGAGAAGAGATTCTGCAACAGTCTCTTTCATTTCCTCTTTCCCAGAGCTCTGTCAACTCGAGGGCCAAAAAAAAAAACTTTGCTCTTCAGAGTTCGACAAATCGCTCCTTTTTTTTTCTGGGCAGAGAGAGGGTGGTGGATGGAATTAGTTCCTTACGATTCGGACGAGAAGTCATCGAACTCCTCCATTCTCGCGTGGCAGGACATGTTCCGATCGGCCTCAACGCGTAAGCCCCAAGCGCCCCCGCCGCAGAACCCACCTCCGTCGTCGTCGGAGCCGTCGCTTTTCTGGGCAGAGAGAGGGTGGTGGATGGAATTAGTTCCTTACGATTCGGACGAGAAGTCATCGAACTCCTCCATTCTCGCGTGGCAGGACATGTTCCGATCGGCCTCAACGCGTAAGCCCCAAGCGCCCCCGCCGCAGAACCCACCTCCGTCGTCGTCGGAGCCGTCGCAGAATGCCGCCCCCCCCGCCAAGACGTCGCTCTCCGCCGCCGATCCTCAGGTACGGCTCGCTATCTACATAGCCATGGCTCACGCAGGCCTCGCCTTCGCCATTTTCGTCCTGTATTTCGTCGGCAAGCTGTTGCAGGAGTACCTGAGGCCGATTCAGTGGGCGATTCTCTGTTCGATTCCTCTCAGAGGAATTCAAGAGACCCTTGTCGATTTCTGGAGCGAGCCCTTGAAATTAGGTCTCACGGAGACAATCCTCGCCGTTCCCATCGCTGTATTTAAGGTGTTCATAGGATCGATTGTGGACATCAAGCATGTCTGTTCTAGGGTTTTTCTTAGGAAGTCGAAATCCAAGAGGACGAGACAGAACGGAGGTGGGTTTTCGAAATTGGTGAGATGGTTAGTCTCATTTGGTGTGTTTGTGATCGCGTATGAGAGAATCGGTGGAATCGGGTCACTCATGATTCTCGCATTAGGGTTTCTGTTCAGTTCTAAGAACGTGAATTCAACCCTCTCAGCCGTTTCTTCCTTAAAGAGCACTAGCTTTAGGCGTAGCCGTGTCTCTGCGTATTTCACGAGAGGGATACTGAAGAGGCTGGACACCATTGTCGCCATCGGTCTGATCTTGATCATGATTGCCGGATTCTTGTCTGGTGTGATATTTTTCTCCTACAAGATCGGAGTCGAAGGGAAAGACGCAATGTTCTCGCTGAAATCGCACGTCGAAGAGAGTAATTACGCAGAAAAGATCGGTATTAAGCAGTGGATGGCTGAGAATGATGTTCCTGGAATGGTAGATAGATACACTACGAAATTCTACAAAACCGTGCTGGAGCAAGTCGATAGCTTGGCAGTGCAGTATAATATGACGGAGTTAGTCACCGGGATCAAGAATTTCGTGATTGCTCAGCCTACGACTAACAACAGTTCATCCGA